TAAGCACTGCCTTTATTTTTTTAGTTTTTTTTAAATATATTTTATTGATTTTTTTACAGAGAGGAAGGGAGAGGGATAGAGAGCCAGAAACATCGATGAGAGAGAGACATCGATCAGCTGCCTCCTGAACACCCTCCACTGGGGATGTGCTCACAGCCAGTGTACATGCCCTTGACCGGAATCGAACCTGGGACCTTTCAGTCTGCAGACTGATGCTCCATCCACTGAGCCAAACCGGTTTCGGCAAGCACTGCCTTTATAACTATTCAGTGTGTGTGTATACATTTGGGGGGACAACCTATAGTTTTTCTTTTCCCTGAATGTCACATATCTGGAATCCCACCACATGTAGTCCTTCAGATGGGTTCTTCCCCTGGGCAACATGCATCTAAGGTTCCCAAGTCTTTTCGTGGCTTGATCGCTCATTTCCTTTGAGTGCTGAATACTATTCCATTGTCTGGCGGACACACAGAATCTAGTGAGCACCATCTTGTTTACTTCCAAGTTTTGGCAATTATGAATGAAGCTGCTATAGACACATGACCCACATCTCTCGGCCCCTGTGTGCCATTCACAGAGCCCTGGACACTCTGTACAGCTGCAGGCAGGTTCCTAGCAAAGGAAGGGGTGGAAATACAGAGTCATAGGGGAAAACAAAACCATCACTGACTTTTAAATCAGATGCAGTATTGGTTAGATTTATATCAAAATATGTATTAGTATAACTTTATTGAAAAACATAAAAGAACACCTCAATAAGTGAAGAGAGATCTATCCAGAGATGGAAGGACTCACGTTTGTCAAGATGGCATTCTTCTCGAATGAATGAGCGAACGCCCATGGCCAGGCCAGTCTGCGTCCCGTGAGTTCAGCACGGCTGTGGCAGTCTTACCGGAAACGCACAGGGTACGTGCCCCGGACAGCCCTTCGGTGAAGTAAGACATGTGGGTCAACAGGAAGAACAGAACAAAGAAGGAAAATTGTGTGAATGTAGAATATTGTTATGTGAGATACGTCACAAACAGCTCAATACTAACAGATGTCACAAAGCACTGAGATAATGGGGTTACCATGATAAAACAGAAGGGGTGCTAGAGAAATTAGCTCTCCATACAAGGAAGGAAAAATGACAAAGGAGATGGATGGTGGATGATGGCTAGATGATGGATGTGTATGGACAGATAACAGATGAACACACACATATATAACAGAAGATAAAGTGAGATCACATAAATAGATAAACTCCCAGGTGGATAACAGACAGACATCCTGCTGAGGATCAGGGCACCTATAGTGGCAAACTCACGCTGTGAGCAGACCCCACTGACCGCGGAGATTTTTAGAAAACTTGTAAACACAGCTCCCTGAGGGGCAGCCCACTTCCTCGGCCAGCTGGAAGTCGCGAGGAGAGTTCAGACTGGGGACATGAGATCTGCACACTGTTTTCCTATGTTAACTTCCCTTTTGCGGGTGCTTTGTTCCTGTCAATCACTGCACTGAAAAGTAGCAAATTAGGCCAAGACGTCGGATCATCTGGAAGGTGAACCAGCGGACCTGCCCCACCTTCCTGTGACCCAGAGTGGGCCAACCTGCAGCTCAGCACCCACTAGCCGCCCTCAGCATCATGCTCCCTATGCACACATTCTGGTGTTTGTGCCCGGGGTGCATTCCCCTCAGACTCCCTGAGACCCTGGGTACCCTAGGCAGTGCTGCTGGCCTGGCCTTAGACATGCCCAGGTGGCAGTGCATGTGTGTATGTCTATGTCTATGCACACGTGTGCAACATGTGTGTGCTATGCACACATGCACGCACGTGCACTGTTTGATTTTATAGTTGCATGCACTCCCATGTGCACGTGTGCTCTTCTGTGCATACACACACCTGGGGGCTCATGAGTATACCTGCGTGTGCTTGGGTGTATGTACTATGTGTGCATATTGGAGTGTGCTGGGTCGTGGTGCTAAATAAAATATTTAATCGCCAGCAGCTCGATCTCCACCACAAACACCATGTGACTGGTTTTAACGTAACGGGTTGTTTGATTGTCTCCCAGTCAGAACGCCAGTTGTGTGGCTCAGACTCACGCCGCAGGGCAGAGCTGCTCTGAGAAGGGACACGTGGAAGCCCAAGGCCTGAGGCGCAGGCTCAGCGTCCACCTGTCTGCAGCGAGCCTGCTGGCATAGTAACCACACCGCGTGTGATCTTAACTAAATTGTCCTCTTAAAAAAGCAACATTTAGCCCTGGCAGGTTTGGCTTTGCGGATAGAGCGTCAGCCTGAAGACCAAAAGGTCCCAGGTCCGATTCCGGTCAAAGGCACATGCCTGGGTGGAAGGCTCCTCCCTGTGCAGGCCCTGGCTGGGGCCCCTGCGGGAGGCAGCCAATGGATGTGTTTCTCTCACATCCATGTTCCTCTGTCTTTTCCTCTCTTCCACTCTCTCTAAAAATCCATGGAAAAGTATCTTTTGATGAGTATTCACAAAACAAAAACTAGCAAAAAAATAAAACCACCACCTATGCTCTCAGCATCACGCCATGTAACAACTCTAAGATATGTTTAATCTTGCTTCGCTGCGACCTACATTCCTGGGGCGGCCTCCACGGGCCACCAGAAAACCCGCTCTGAGGACGGCCCCAGAACCGCCCTGTCTCCCAGAGTCACTTCTTCACAACGGACACTTCCAAAAAGCAGGAAGTGTGGACAGTGTGAGGCGAGGGGTGCAGTTATGGGGGCGTAGCCGTGGAAGGGGGGGACGTGGGCGTCGGGGCATCAAGCCCACACCAGGAAGCTGATCCCGAGTACAGGAAACTCAAAGCTTCCGAACCCCGCTTGTTCCCTGAGGTTGGTCTTAGATCTTCAGCTGAGGGGTATTTGGAGTTTCATTTCCTGTATAAACTTTAAAAAATAAAGCCTGTGTCGCACATCGTTGTCTTGAGTGGGGCTAAGAGTACCCATGAAATTAGGAACATCTGCATCTTTAAAAATGTCACCTGGTGTTAGTTGCCTTGAAGTTCACTTCTATGTGACCCAGACGCTCCCTGCTGCCCAGCCAGATGCCCACAGGAGGGCGCTGCTGGGCCTGGGCCTGGGCCTGGGCCAGTGCTGCCTCTGTTCCATCTCCAGAAAGTCTGGAACCTCAGGGAGGCCCCTAGTGTTGACACATAAGGCACCCAACAGGTAAATCACACCCATCGTGTAGAATGAGGGCCTGAGGTCTGCCGTCCTAGGCCACATCAGCCGGACCACCTCGTTCTGCAGCTCTGAGCTGTCCCCGAAGCCGTGGCACCCGGGGGCTTGGAATGGGGCACAGGCGCAGCCCGTCTCAGGAAGTGGGAACCGCTGGCAGGGCCTGGTTGGCCAGACTTGGGCAGACAGGAAGTGTGTTGAAGTCGCGTTTGCTGCCTTGGGTTGATAGCCGGGGGCTGCTGGTGTGGGGACCGAGAGGGGCCAGGCGGCCATGCTCGGGCCATGCCCTCAGCCAGGCTGTACCCAGAGGCCCATCTGGACACGTGTCTGAAGAGGCGGATGTGGATGATTCTTTCTCGGGTGGCATCCGTTTTCTGAGGACGTCGTCTCGTCGTCTCTCTGACCGGATAAGGTTTAGTCCCTGAGGTCGGGTTGATGGGCCATCTCGCTGGATGGTGAGGGGCCTCCACACCTCCCTGCCAGCGTCCGCTGCAGCTGGGCAGCCTGGGCGGGCAGGGACCGGGCAGGGGCCTGGGTGGCCAGGGTCCAGGGGATCTAGGGCTTCGGGTGGGGCACCGGGTAGCTGAGGAGAGGTTTCACCCCGCGCTGGGAAGCGCCTCCATTCCCAACCCTGGGCACTTTTCCACAATGAGGTGGATCCCAGACGTCAGTACGGGACACCCTGCTTTCCCCTTTCTCTGGCAGAGGTGACCTCCACCCTGGGGTGCCCCCACCTCATTTGGCAGGAGGTCAAACCCTTTGGTAAGAGTGGGGCTCTCCTTCAGGGCCAGCGCACACCTGCCTGACACCTCCGCTCCGGCCCGACTTACCTTTCCCCTGAGCCCTGAGCCGACTGGCTCCCGGCCAGCCCACCGGGCGGGGGTCCCGCCCCGCCCCACCGTGTGGAACGCGTTTCACAGCATGTGTGCCAACAGACCTCCTAATGATTTACACCTGTGACCTTCACATCACGGCGGAGGGTACATTTAAGAGGAAGGGTATAATGTTCAAATGACCAAATTCATCCACAGGAAACAGCCTTTGCCAGAGAAGCTAGGCCTGTGGTTTTCCCTAAATAGGGTTGGAAATTCATATGCATTAACCATAAATAAGCTCGGCTTTGCAGCAGAAACCTCATCACCAGTTTCCAAAAAAAGAAATGTTTGGGGCCCGACGCACACGGAACGCTCGCTGCAGAAGGAGGCTGGGTGAGTCCACCCGCGAGCTGCGGGATTTACCTCTGACAAGCTCAGCCATTCTCCCCCCACCCCCCCATCTGTGCATAAACATCTAACTCCAACGACATAGCAATTCATTTAATAAAGGAACTCGCCAATTTCAAATTGCAATAAATGTACCAAACATTGTCACCATTTCTGGAGCTTTACAGTAAGAAAGTTTTGACAAAAGCAGGCACATCCGTGTACAAAGTGTTGCCGGTGGTGCATCCCATCGTCTTTCGTTACGGAAGTGTCCGTGTCCTCCCCGCGGAGCGCGCGCCGGGCCCGGGGCCGCGGACTGGCCAAGGGAAATGCGCGGGGCGAGCGCACCCCAAACATGTTGTAAACTTTAAATGGAATCCGGTACGAACAGACCCGGGCAAGAAGAGAAGCCTCCCAGACACAGACACGGTAACGCTCGGGGCCAGTCTCGTGGCGCGGGCGGGGGGACTCGGAGGGCGGCGCCGGCCAGACAGCCCTGGGTGGCGGCCCCGCAGCCGGCCCGGCTCGGCCCCCGCCGGCCCCGCGCCCCCCGCGGCGGTGGTGGGAGGGGAGGCGGCCCGCGTGTCCGTCCGTCCGCCCGCGTCGGGGGGTTCAGCAGGCGCGGCTCGGCTCCCAGGGACGCGCCGCCTCGCGGGGCGGCCGGCAGCAGTAGGGGTAGGAGGCGTCGAGGTCCGGGTCCGAGGGCGCGTAGCCAGGCAGCTCCACGGACGGGTGCCCGCCGCAGCACACCTCCACGCCCGCCTCGTCCGACGCGCGGATGACTCCCAAGTGGATGTAGGAGACGGCGTGGCGCGCCGCGAAGCCCGCGCAGTCCCCCGGCGCGGCCGCGTCCGAGTCCTCCGGGGCCAGGATGGAAGCCTCGCTCGGGCGATGCTGCTGCAGCCGCCGGCCGCGCCGGCCCCTCCGCACCCAGGGAGCGGGCGGCTGCGCGCGGAGCCCCGAGCCGCCGCGGCGCCGCGCCGGCGCCCGGCCTCCCCGCCGCCCGCGCCGGGCCCGCGCCGCCCGGCAGGCCTTGGCCAGCAGCAGGCTGAGCAGGCCCAGCAGGCACTCGAGCGCGTTGAAGACGGTGGAGAGCACCAGGCCGCGCTGGTAGTCCTTGAGCTGCCGGCACTTGGCGGGCGTGGCGCGGGCGCGCGGCGCGCCGGGGGCCGGGCCGGGCGCGGGGCCGGGGCCGGGGGCCGGGGCGGCGGGCGCGCGCGGGGGCAGGCAGTAGTGGGAGTACTTGCGCTCCACGAGGGACACGGCGTCGCCGTCGATCACGGCGCCCGCGAAGGCGCTCAGGACCCCGAGCATGAAGACCAGGGCGCCGAGCAGGAGCAGGTTCTGGCCGGTGCCCGGGCCCTCGGGCTCGGCCGCGGCGCCCGGCGCGGCCTCCGGCGCGCCTGCCGGGGCGGCGGGCGCCCCGAGCCCCGGGCCCGGCCCCGCGGGAGGCGCGGCGCGCGGCCCGCAGCAGAGCCGGGCGGCGCCGAGCAGCGAGAGGCCGGCGGCCAGCAGCAGCCCCGAGTAGAAGGCGCCGGCGGCCGCGCCGAGGCGGAACGGCTCCCCGCGCAGCTCCGAGCCCAGCGCGAAGCACTGGAGGCCGACGGCGGCGGCGCTGAGCGCGCAGGCGAGCAGGAGGCAGGCGGCGAGCGCGGCGCAGGCCCCGCGGACGCTCCACTTCATCCTCCGCGCCCGAGCCGGCCCGCGCCCCGCGCGCCCGCCGCCGCCCGCCGCCGCCCCCGCCGCCTGCGCCTCCTCCCGGCGCCGCGCGGCCGGACCGCCGGCCTCCGCCTCATCCTCCCGCGTCCTCCCGGGCCCGCGCCGCCGCCGCCGCCGGAGCCGGCATCCTCTGCCTCCCGTCGCCGCCGCCGCCGCCCCGCGCCGGGAACCCGGGCGGCGCGGAGACCCGCCGGGAGCGCGCCCCTCCCCGGCCCGCGGCGCCCCGCCCAGGGCGCTGCGCTCCCCGCGCCCCCGGCCCCCGCCGCCCCGGGGACGCCCCGCGGCCGGCTCCCAGGGCAGAGCGGCCCCCACGCGTCTGCCCCCGCCCCCCCGGGTGTGGGCGCCCCAGGCCCCACCCCGCACCTCCCGCCTCTCCCGCCTCCCGAGCTGCGGCGGCTGCGCTCCCGGCGGCAGGGCTCCGGCTCCCCGCGGCCCCCGGCGCGCGGCGCCACGACCCGGGAGGCCGGCGGGGGCGGCGGCTCGGGGCGGGGGCCGGCGTGCGGGCGGGAGGGGGCCGGGGAGGGGCCGGCGCCGGGGGCGAGCGGGGAGGACGGGGTGAGCGGAGGCGAAGCCCCAGGCAGAGCCTCGAGGAGCCGGGCCGCGGCGGCTGTGCGTGAGCTCGTCGGGAGGCGGCTCGGGGCCGGAGGGACGGGGTGCAGGTGCCCGCGGAGGGGCGGGCGCGGTGGTCCCGGGCCCTCGGGGCGCCCCAGGCGCTTCCTGAAAGCGGTCAGGGGTGCAGCCTCCCCGGCTCCGGAGGGACCGCGGGCGGCCCGGAGCCGTGACTCACCGCGGGCTGAGCGCGGTCCGGGGGGCGGGGGCCTGCGGGAGGGGGTGCGGCGCTCCGAGCGCAGGGCTGCCGCGGGGACCCTCCGCGCCCCCTCCCCGGACACCATCGCCCCGGGGCCGCCGCGCGCCGGGCCGGTTCGCCGGGTTGGCAGCGGGGCCTGCGGGCGTGGAGCGCGCCCGCGGGGGGACTTCCCGGGCCGCCCCGGAGGCGGGGGTCTGAGGGCCGGGGTGAGGCGTGCGCCACGCGCGGGTGGAGCTTCCGGGAGCCGGCTCCCGGGCCTGTTTGGTTTCCAGGGCGACCAGGTGCCGCCGGCGCCGCCAGCCGGAGGGAGCAGCCGGTCCTCCCTCCCGGGCTGCGGACCCATTCGCTCCGGGCGCAGGGACATGGGCGGGGCTGCAGCCCTTCTCCGGGCCTGGCCTCTCTCTGCCGGTGCCCGCCCCACCCTCCCCTGGACACTGTCCCCGACCGCCGCCCCCCTGGTCCGCCGCCCGGTGCCCGCCGCCCGCCCGTGCTGTTCTGTCTGCAGCCGCTCCGTCGCCCCACCCTCACCCGTGCCCGCCTTGCGCGTGTGAGATCTCGGCCTGAGCTCCCCAGAGTGACTAGCTACCGACTGCAGTCAGGGCCTGAGTCCTGACCAATGGGTGCTTTGCGTGGCTTTCTTTCCTTACTTTTTTAGGTACACTCTTTTGAAAATATATTTTTATTGATTTCAGAGAAAAGGGGAGACAGAGGGAGGGAGAGAGAGAGAATATCATTGACTAGCTGTCTCCTGCACTTCTCTTCCTGGGGATCACTCCTTGACCTCTTGCCTCATGGGTCAGAGCTCAATCCCTGAGCCCCACCAAGCCTTGCCCCCGCCTAGCAAGGACAGACAGCCCGGCCCCAGATCTGCTCCCCCAAAGCCAGGAGGCCCCCAGCAGCTGCCTCGGGCCTTTAGCAGACGTGCACCCTCCTGTACTGCAGCAACAGCCCCCCCATCCCCGCCCAGCACAGACCCCGGGGCTGGCCAGGTGCTGTGGGGACACGCTGATGCAGGACGACCTGCCCATTGAGCTGGAAGAGGGCGAGACATTCCCACACGGGGATGAGCCCAGCGCAGCGTCCTCCTGGCAGGAAGGGTTCCGCCCCAGGCCCATCCCTGCTCTGATGAATGGGGCATTGTCCCAGTTAAGCCCCAATTGATTGATGATCTGTCTAGACTCAGTGGGACAAGCACAGGTGACCAGCAGTCATCAATCACGGCCTAACCCCTGGTGCTTCAATGTCTAGACAGCTGAGCCGAACCGGAACACATGACACACAGACAGAGTTAGTATACAATCACACACTTACTGATTCCTCGTGGGTCCTGGGCTCCGGCAAAGGCCCCTGGATGCACACTGAAGGACGGACAACGAAGACAGAGACAGGCAGGGGCCGCAGGTGGTTCAGGCTCACACAGCAGAGCAGTCAGGGGCTTGTCTCTCAGAGCGACGTGGAGTCCTCCTCTCATCGGGCAGGAGACCACAACTGGAGACAGTCCCAGGTTATACAGACCGCAGTCACCAGCTGTGTCCTTATCAGTGTGGGCCAGACGGTGTGCCTTACGCTGGGAGCAGGGTGTTTACACTTGAAGGGCACAGAGCTTAAAAAAAAAAGAAGAAGAATATATACACACACACATTTTAAAATATATTTTATTGATTTTTTTTTTTTTTTTTTTTTTTTTTTTTTACAGAGAGGAAGAGTGAGGGATAGTTAGAAACATCGATGAGAGAGAATCATCAATCATCAATGCCTTTTGCACACCCCCTACTGGGGATGTGCCCGCAACCAAGGTACATGCCTTTTACTGGAATTGAACCTGGGACCCTTCAGTCCACAGGCCGATGCTCTATCCAATGAGCCAAACCGGCTTCGGCGTGGGTGCAGAGCTTTTACATCAAGATCGTGGGGTGTCCGTTAATTTTGGAAGTCACAGAGTATTGGGGTTTCCTTACAGCAAACATTTCACACAGCAGTTATTTCGTACATTAGAGGGGTTTCCTTATGACCATCACATTCTTATAACAGGTGGGAAGCCTGATGGGGCGGGAAGACGGTGAGTCCTGTCCGGCCCTCTCCCCCGCAGACCTTGGCTCTGTCGGGGAGAGGTGTCGCTGGCAGCATGCTCTGCTTATGCTGTCGCCATCTCAGTTCAGTCTGGGTGCAGACGGTACACAATGAGTGGGGAAGGGCTCCCTCGTTTTTAAAATTATAAATGTTTTTATTGATGTCAGAGGAAGGGAGAGGGAGAGGGAGGCGAGTGCCGGCCCGTGCACGGCCCCTCCTGTTTTCTGTGAGCGCCTGTGGAGCTGGCCTTTCCTCCCTAAGGATCTGGCAGAGTTCAGCTGTGACGCTGTCTGGGGCTGAAGTTTTCTTCATGGGATGGTTTAACAAACTTAACTTTAAAAACATCCCTATATATATTTATTTTCTGGAAGGAGCGTTAGTATTCTTTGAGGAATTTCTCCATCACAGTTTTTAGATTTGCTGGCATAGCGTCTACACTATTCCTCTATAAGCTGCCACTGTTATCGTATGAAAAATATACCTCCCTAAAAGTGAAAGAATAAAATGTCTTTTAATGTTTTTATTCTTTTACGTCTCTAGGGTCTGTAGTGAAATTCCCTCTTTCACTTTTGACATTGGTAATTTGTGTGGTGTTTCTAATTTTTGTTTTAATCCTCACTGGAGGATATTGCTTCCGTTGATTTCTAGAGGGAGTGGGAGGGAGGGGGGAGGAGGAGAGAAAAACATCGATGTGTGAGGGGCACACGGATTGGTTGCCTGCACCCCTCCTGGGGCTGGGCCATCTGCACCCACAGTGTGTGCTCTAGGCGGGAGTCAAACCTGTGACCCTTTGGTTCACCAGCCACTTCTCTAACCACTGACTGGCCAGGTCTGTGTGGTGTGCTTTTTAAAAACCAGTTTGGCTCCAGGTTACTATTCTTGATCATTAAAAATAGTGTTTAGCTGAAGCCGGTGTGGCTCAGTGGATAGAGCGTCGGTCTGCAGACTGAAGGGTCCCAGGTTTGATTCCGGTCAAGGGCATGTACATTGGTTGCGGGCACATCCCCGGTGGGGGGTGTGCAAGAGGCAGCTGTTCGACGTTTCTCTCTCATCGATATTTCTAGCTCTCTATCTCTCTCCTTTCCTCTCTGTAGAAAATCAATAAAATATATTTTAAAAAAATAAAATAGTGTTTAGCCAAGACCGGTTTGGCTCAGTGGATAGAGCGTCGGTCTGCGGACTGGGGGGGGTTCCAGGTTCGATTCCGGTCAAGGGCATGTGCCTTGGTTGCTGGCTCATCCCCAGTGGGGGGTGTGCAGGAGGCAGCTGGTCGATGTTTCTCTCTCATCGATGTTTCTAGCTCTCTATTCCTCTCCCTTTCTCTCTGTAAAAAATCAATAAAATATATATTTTTTAAAAATAGTGTTTAGTTTGATGGTTTTCATTTTTTGTTTTCTATAATATCTCACTGCCGTCCACTCCCTTTTTCTCTGCTCGCTTTGGCTTCAGTTTGCTCTTTTTCTAGTTCTGGTTCGAGACATTTCTTTTTATGTAATCATTTAATGCTATAAACATTGCTTAGTGGCTTAAAATAGCAATGAGCAAATTAAACCCGTTGGTTTGAACTTGAATTCATCGAAGAAAATTTCACTTCTTACGCTCCCCTGCCACAGCCTGCACAGCAGGTGCGGTGGCCTGTGGGAGGGCTGGCACACGCAGACGCCATGCAGGGAAAACGGATCTGAGAAGAGGAGCACCCAGTCCGGGTCCCGCTGCTTCCGCTCAGTTTTGTCACATGTTTGCCCTTTAGCACACCACGCAGGCAGAGCAGGTGGGGTCAAAGGTCAGTAAAGTTCCGTAAACTGTGTAAAGATGGTCGGTCAGGAAACTGCCCAAGCCGGCGTGCTCACAGCAGTGGCCAGCGTGTGCTGGCCACCGCCCGGCCGCCTGCCAAGGTAGCTGTTTCACTTCCCTGCCAATGCTGTTAGGCACCAGTCTCCGGCACTCGCCACGACTTTTTAAGGGGCGATGGGATGGCAGATACTGGAAGGGCTGGTCCAACTTGAAGACAGGATCTGGGAGGACAGATGGTAGATGGGTGAGTGTATGGGGGGATGGATGGATGAATGGATGGTGTGTAGATGGATGGACGGAGGGTGAATGGATGAGTGACGGACAGATGGGTAGGTGGGTGGGGATAGTGATGGGAGGATGGATTGGTGGGTAGGGGTGAATAATGGTGGCTAGATAGATGAGTGTATGGGGGGATGGGTGGGTGGTGAGTGGATGGATGATGGGTGGGTGGGTGGATGGTGGATGGATGGTGGGTAGATGGCTAAATATAATGGACAGATAAAATAAGATGCCAGAGGGAGCATGCATGGACCCATGGTGACGATGTCTCACAAACGAGAACAGGAGTAGCTCAGCTCTCTGGCTAACCACCGCCAAGCTCCTCGTCCCTCCCATCTCCGGCGGCACCGCGGCTGTGGTCTGTGCTCTCTGTTCAGGACCCCGCCTGGGGGAGGCCCGGGAGGAGTGACCTTTCAGAGAGGAGGGATCGAGACTAAGGGTGGACCCACCCAGGGCTGCTGAGAGGGACTCTCCCTCCCGTACTCCGAGCCACAGAGGCCAACTGAGGGTGCCGAGGGCGGAGCTTAGTCCTCCCACAGAGCCGCCTCTGCCTCAGCCATCCCAGTGGGCAGCGCTCTGTCCCAGCCCCAGGCCACGGAGCCACTTCCCCGGCAGCTGCAGCTCCTCCCGAACCCCCTTCCGCACGTGCTGGGTCACGACGAGGCTTTTCAGTCGTGGGCCCTGGGCCCGTGCGGGAGTTCCTACCCCCGGTGACGCCAAAGTCACCCTTGCCCTGTGTTCTCAGGCATTTGGTCTCTTCCTCCCGTGCCAAGTCCCCGCTCCCTGCCCATCTCCCTGCCCGGCTGAGCACTGGACCCAAACGCACGGGGAACCCCCGTCCCCGTGGCACCCGCAGCCCAGCACAGAGCCTGGGCCCAGACGCCGGGGGTGCAGACGGCCCCGGAGGCCGTGGACTCCGATGAGCCGCAGCCGGGCACACCTCTCTGAAGGGCCAGATGGCACACGGTTCAGGCTCTGCGGCCACATGGTCTGTGCTGCACGGGCTCAGCGACAGCAGCTTCCCCCGACCTCTGGGCCGGGTGAGACGACGACTTCCTTACGTTTAAAGCATCGAGAGCTCATTCCTTCGACGGTGCTGGCAGCTCTGGCCGGGGCCCGCCCACAGGGGGGAGCGCCGGGTGCCAGGCCCACTCCCCAAACCACCCCAGGGCCGCCGCCCCGGCCTGTGCCCTGCGCGTACCCGGTGCTGGTGCTGGTGCCGGCCTGGTCTCGGGCTCCACGGCAGGAGGTCGCCAGGGCCGCCCTCAGATGGCTCCCAGAGGGACGAGAACACAGGGCTGAGAGCACAGCCAGCTCAGCCAGCCCGTCCTCGGCTGGGGCATGCCCGCCACAGCCACCCCCCACCCCGTGTTTCGTGTTGGGGGGTGGGCACTCTTTTCACACCGAGTCTGATGTGGGCCGGTGGTCAGAGCTGGCCTCGAGGGCCTCAGAGATGACCGTTAAGTAACTGCAGGTTATTTTTGTGTCCACGTGGCCGGGCACAGGGTGGCTCGGAGGTCAGACTGGGCCATGGACTCAGTAAGCCAGAGAGCTGCGCCCATGTGGCTGCCAGCAGAGGGCCAGGGAGGACGGCCCCCTTCCCAGAGCAGGCTGGGGTGCCGCTGACTCCCCCGGACCCACACCCCATCTCCCCCGCCCCCTGTCAGACGGCAGGCTGCAGACCTCTCAGCTCCAGCGTCCGAGGCAGCCCCACCGTGGAGAGTCAGTCCTGGCTGGTGGGCTCAGGGGTTAGTGACTGCTTGCCCTCTGCAATTACTTCAAACTTCCTCTTGCTTGGCTGGTGCAGCTCAGTGGTTGAGGTTAACTTAGGAGCAGGAGGTCACAGTTCGATTCCTGGTCAGGGCACACGCCCGGGTGTGGGCTCCATCCCCAGGGGGGAGCGTGCAGGAGGCAACTGAGTACTGGTTCTCTCTCATCATGGATGTTTCTACCTCCTCTCCCGCTCCTGGCCTCTCTGAAATAAATTAAAAAAATATATTTTTAAAGATTTCCTCTTTCGCTCTGTGCTGCACCCTAGGGAGCCCCTCTCCAGGCGTCTCCCCAGGCCGACGCCCACCTGTGCGGGCCCCGGAGCCCAGGTCTGGGTCCCCCCTTCCCGGAGGGAAGCCCCCGGCCGCTGGGCGTCCCCAAGGCCCGGCCTCCGGCCTCAGGGAGCGGCCCCGGGCGAGGGGGCAGGGCGGGCGGTCAGCTGGTGCCGGCCTCTAATCGGCGCTAAGCGAGGCTTTGCTGATGACAGTGTCTGCGGGCGTCCGGGACGGGACGCGGTGGCCGGGACGGGCAGCCGGACACCATGGGCCTCGGCGAGGAGCAGGCAGGGCGGTTCCTGGACCGGAACCCCGGCTTTGCCGGCCGCTACTTCACGAAGAGGCTGAGCCCGGAGCAGGCGGCCCGGGCCTGGGGGGCCGGGGCCGGGGCCCCCGCGGGCGCCGCCAGCTTCCGGGAGCTGTGCCAGGTGCGCGAGGCGGCGGGGCTGCTGGAGCTGGTGGGGGACGTGCAGGAGGGCGTGAACATGGAGCGCGTGCTCTTCAAGCTGCTGCGCCGCCTGGGCCCGCTGCTGCGCGCCGACTGCTGCAGCCTCTTCCTGCTGCGGCAGCGCAACGGCCAGGCCGAGCTCGCCACCCGCCTGTTCGGCGTCCGGCCCGGCCGCGCCCTGGAGGAGTGCCTGGTGCCCCCGGACGCGGAGATGGTCTTCCCGCTGGACATCGGCGTCGTGGGCCACGTGGCCCAGACCAAGAGGACGGTGGCCGTGCCGGCCGTGCGCGAGGTGGGTCCCGGCCGGCCTCGCCGCCGGGCGGGGCCGGGGGGGGGCAGGTCTGCCAGGCGCCCGCGAGGGGGGCGTCGGGGGAGGCTGCAGCCCGGAGCGCCCAGCCTGGAGCCAGCAGCAGAAGCCAGGCCCGGTCCGCCTCCTCCGAGCCCATGGAGGAGTCGGGGGGCCGAGCCCGCAGCCCCTGGGCCCTGGAGACGGGAGACGGGCAGACGGACAGATGGCCACGGGCCCCGGGCTGGAAGGAGGCAGCGGCGGCAATCCTCTTAGCGCCCACTCCCACAGCGGCCTCCGTGGCTGGGCAGCGTAATCCCCGGATTAGCCTCTCCCTCCGCTTCCTTTTTAAGAAATGGGTCACCCCGAGCCGGCCGTCAGGAGCGCCAGCCTCCCAGGAGCGGAGGCTCATGGTGGGGGCCCTCCCCAGGCCTGTCCCCTCAGGGGCCGGGGTTCCAGCCTCCCCCCCCTCCCCCCCGCCACAGCCGCTCCGAGGGTCTGGTCCGCCTTCCGGCTGCCCCGGGCCAGGCCCCCCTGCAGGCAGGCTCCCTGGTCTCCCGGGCGGCATCAGAGGCGGCCCCGTGGGCAGCTCCCAGCCCTGACCTGGTCCTCAGGCCCCGGGGTCTCCTTCCCCCAGACGCAGTGACCAGAGACCAGAGTCACAAGTCACCCAAGAGGGCATCTCCCCAGAGAGCGTCCGCATCCCGGGGCACCGTCCGGGCTCGGTTTCCAGGCGGCTCTCGAGGGGAGACTGAGGCAGAGTCTGGTTCTGCCCCGGGTGCCAGCCACTCGGAGGGCAGAGCCGCAGGGGCTGTTCCTGGAGGGGTGGGGGGAGGGGCAGGGTGCTGAGAGAGGTGTGGACATCTGTCCTGGCCGGCGAGGAGGACCTGTGCCTATGCTAAAAGGTCGCAGACCTCCCAGCCCCGGCCGCCGCAGCCTCCACCGGCTCACTGGCTCGTGTGAAAACACGTTGCACAGGGGAAGGGACGAGGCCGGCACATCCCTCTGAGTCCAAGTCACCGGGGACCCTGGTCAGGGCTGTCAGGGCCGGAGGACCTGCCCTGCAGAGACAGAACTCAAGCCCCTCCTGCCCACCAGGGACCCTGGGGCAGGTGCTGGGGTGGGACCCTGGGGCAGGTGCTGGGGGGGGACCCTGGGGCAGGTGCTGGGGGTGGGACCCTGGGCAGGTGTTGGGGGTGGGACCCTGGGGCAGGTGCTGGGGGGGGACCCTGGGGCAGGTGCTGGGGGTGGGACCCTGGGGCAGGTGCTGGGGGTGGGACCCTGGGCAGGTGTTGGGGGTGGGACCCTGGGGCAGGTGCTGGGGGTGGGACCCTGGGGCAGGTGCTGGGGTGGGACCCTGGGGCAGGTGCTGGGGTGGGACCCTGGGGCAGGTGCTGGGGGTGGGACCCTGGGGCAGGTGCTGGGGGTGCTGGAGGTGGGACCCTTGGGCAGGTGCTGGTGTGGGACCCTGGGGCAGGTGCTGGGGGTGCTGGAGGTGGGACCCTGGGGCAGGTGCTGGGGGTGCTGGGGGATGGGACCCTGGGGCAGGTGCTGGGGGTGCTGGGGGGTGGGACCCTGGGGCAGATGCTGGGGGTGGGACCCTGGGGCAGGTGCTGGGGTGGGGCCCTGGGGCAGGTGCTGGGGGTGGGACCCTGGGGCAGGTGCTGGGGGTGGGACCCTGGGGCAGGTGCTGGGGGTGGGACCCTGGGGCAGGTACTCAGGCTGTCACCTGGGGCAGCCGCCGAGGGGCGGACCCAGCTGGAACACAGGCCCTGGGAGGCTGTGGGGCTTTGGACCGATCCGCTGGCCCGGAGCCCCACAGCCACCCGAGCCCACGCCCGCAGAGCACAGCCTGTCTCTCCCCGTCGCCTCACAGAACCCCCACTTCAGCCCCTTTGCGGACGAGCTGACCGGCTATGAGACACGGAGCCTCCTGGCCACGCCCATCATGAACGGCAAGGACGTGGTGGCCGTGGTCATGGCCGTGAACAAGCTGGACGGGCCGGGCTTCACCCCCGAGGACCAGGACGTGAGTGGGGGCCTCCCCGGGGGGTGCGTGTGGCTCCGACCCCCGGCCTCCGCCTGCGGGCGCCCCGACCCCCGCCCTCGCCTCGGGCGCCCGGAGACGGCCTGACTCCTGTGGCCACCCTCCACTCCAGGTTTTCCTCAAGTACCTGAACTTTGGGGCCTTGAACCTGAAGATCTACCACCTGAGCTACCTGCACAGCTGCGAGACGCGCCGCGGACAGGTACCCCCTGGCCCGGCCCCCTCCCGGCCGCGCCGGCTCAGGCCCAGCAGCTCCGACGGAGGCGGGCGGGCTGGCCCCTCGTGGTGCGGTGCTGCGTGTGCAGGCCACTCTGAGGCTGAGATCCCGGGACGCGGGACACGTCTGCCTCTCTGAGCGAGGGCGTGGGGGCTGGGGTGCTGCGGGGAAGAATGCAGGTGGCGCATGCCACGTCGGTCCCCCTGTGTCCCCCACGTGTCCCCACGTGTCCCCGAGTGCCCCCCTATGTGTCCCCTGCTTGCCCCTGCGTGTCCCCTGAGTGCCCCGTGTGTGTCCCCTGAGTGCCCCGTGTGTCCCCTGCTTGCCCCTGCGTGTCCCCTGAGTGCCCCGTGTGTCCCCTGAGTGTCCCCTGTGTGTCCCCTGAGTGCCCCGTGTGTCCCCTGCGTGTCCCCTGAGTGCCCCCTGAGGAGACAGAGAAATGGGGAGCCGTTCCCCTCGGAGTTGGGGGAGCCTCGCCATCCGCTGAGCCGTGGGGGCGGGTTGCCCTGGGCCTCCGGGACGAGGCAGGAAACCATTCCTCCCTCACCTTGCCGGCCCAGGACACCGTGAGTTCAGTCCTCAGAGCCCTGCCCGCCGTCCGACCAGGTGGTCCCGGCTTTGCCCTCCGAGCTCTCGGCTACCGACTCCCCTCAGGCACTCAGGGACCGGGGTGAGGCGGGGCAGGCCGGGCCAGGCTGGAGCCTCGCCCCAGGAGCTGCCGGCCCGGGGACCGTAGGAGCGGGGCCGGTGCCAGCTCGGCGGCCCCTCGGGGATGTCGTTGGGGGCCGCCTGGTCCGCGCCCCCGGCCCCGGGGCAGGGGCAGTGCCCAGGGGCCGCCGGGCCCCCCAGGCCTGTGGGCGCGGACATGGCCGTGGTGCCGCCCTGCAGGTGCTGCTGTGGTCGGCCAACAAGGTGTTCGAGGAGCTGACGGACATCGAGCGGCAGTTCCACAAGGCCTTCTACACGGTGCGGGCCTACCTCAACTGTGAGCGATACTCCGTGGGCCTCCTGGACATGAGCAAGGAGAAGGTGAGGCCCGGCTCCCGGCCCCCGGCCCCCGGCCCCCGGCCCCCGGCCCCGGCCCCCGGCCCCGGCCCCCGGCCCCTGACCACCAACCCCCATCCCCCGGCCCCCAGCCCCCCGGCTCCCGGACCCCATCCCCCCAGCCCCCCAGTCCCCGGCTCCCCGGCCCCCCGGCCCCGGCCCCCGGCCCCTGACCCCCGGCCCCTGGCCCCTGACCGCCAACCCCCATCCCCCGGCCCCCGGCCCCTGACCACCAACCCCCATCCCCCGGCCCCCAGCCCCCCGGCTCCCGGACCCCATCCCCCCAGCCCCCCAGCCCCCCAGTCCCCGGCTCCCCGGCCCCCAGCCCCCAGCCCTCCCGGCCCCCAGCCCCCAGCCCCCGGTCCCCGGCCCCTCATCCCCCTGGCCCCCAAGTCCCCAGCCCCCAACCTCCAACCCCCGGCCCCCTGGCCCCCGGCCCCCCGACCCCCTGGCTCCCGGCCCCCCATTCCCCCGGCCCCCAGTCCCCCAGCCTCCGGTCCCCTGGCCCCCCGGCCCCTCCATCCCCTCGGCCCCCCAGCCTCCGGCCCCCGGCCCCCGACCCCCTGGCTCCCGGCCCCCCATCCCCCCGGCCCCCCAGCCTCCGGCCCCCCAGCTAGGCCGTGCGGGGCCAGCTCACCACCTCCCTCCTCTCCGCCAGGAATTCTTCGACGTGTGGCCCGTCCTGATGGGGGAGGCCCAGCCGTACACGGGCCCTCGGACGCCCGACGGCCGCGTAAGCCATGGCGGAGGGCGGAGGGCGGAGGCGGAGGGCGGAGGGCGGGGGGCAGGCCGGCCGCTCCCCCCAGCTCCAGGGCAGCACGGGCCAGCCCAGCCCAGCCCGGAGGTGGCAGGGCAAGGGGCTGGGGAGCAGGGACAGAGGCCGCGGGGCTGGCCCGGGGCCCCACACGACCGCCCGCGGTCTGGTCCTCAGGAGATCCTCTTCTACAAGGTCATCGACTACATCCTCCACGGCAAGGAAGACATCAAGGTCATCCCGTGAGTGCCGCGGCCGCGTGGGTGCCGCCGGGGCGGGGGGGGGGGGCCTGACCGCCGCCCTCGGGGCCCTGAACGCCCAGGCGCCGGCCACAGACCGAGCTCCAGGCCCTCGAGGTCTCGGCTCACGCACACCCAGTGGGATGGACGAGGGACATCCCAGCTGGACAGCCACAGGCCAGGGCCCCCACAGAGCCTGGGACCCTCAGACCACAGGACAGGGGACCAGCGCTCGGCCCCAGAGGCCCCAGGAGGGGAAGGGGCTCCTGCCAGGCCCACGGCCTCGTCGCGGGCAGAGAAGGCAGATGAGGCAGCAAAACAGCCCAACCACGCCCTCCACTGCCCGAGACCTCCCCCGCTGCCCTGCCCCACTCGGAGCTCAGAAAACAGAACACACGGGAACACACGCACGCATGCATGCACACACACACACGCACACACACGCCTCACACCCCGGGTCTGGCCCATCTGACCCTCTGCTTCTCTCCCCAGCACACCTCCTGCCGACCACTGGGCCCTGGCCAGCGGCCTCCCAACCTACGTGGCGGAGAGCGGCTTTGTGAGTCCCCAAGGCCCCGCCTCCAGCCGGCCTCGGCCGGCCTCTGTGGGCGCTCCCGCCCGGCGGTCGCCCGTGCCCGCGGCTGCGCGGCTGAGACGTCTCTCCCCGCAGATCTGTAACATCATGAACGCTGCCGCGGACGAGACGTTCGCGTTCCAGGTGGCTGGCACCAGCGGACCCGCGGGGAAGGGGTTGGCTCAGAGTCTGCATTTTCTCTCCCAGAGGAACCGGGAGGGGGAGCGAGAGAAAACCAACGGGAGAGGATCGTGGGCCGGCGCCTCCTGCCCACCCCGCCCTGGGGCTGGAGCCCGCCCCGGCCCGTGCCTGACTGGGAATCGGCCCGGGACCTCCTGGTTCCTAGGTCGACGCTCAGCCACGGAGCCACGCCGGCCGGGCCAGAGCTGGGTTTTACTGCTTAAGAAACGACCTCAGAATCGCAGTGTCAAACACATACAGAAAAAAAAAAAAAATACAAACTTTAACAGCGGATAACTCCCTCAACTTAACAAACTCTGACTTTGTAGCTGTTCCAAGTGTATATGGGGGGGGGGGGGGGGAGTAGGGGCCTGTATCTCACACTCACCTGCCTGCGGTTTGCCGGGTTCGAGGGCTCAGGTCTGCTCCCCGGGTCTCCCCCTGGGGACACCGACAGGCTCTTCTCTGGAGGGGGCAGAGGTCACAGGTGCCAGGAAGAGGGCTGTGTCACCGAGGGCGCCGGGGCGGCCAGGCGCCGGGCGTAGAGGGGCCCGCTGCCCGGTCTGGGGGCGGGGGGCGCCTGTCCGGGGCAGCGCCGGCCGGGAAGCGTGCCCTGGGGCGCGCCATGGCCCTGTGGGTGTGCAGTCCCCACAGGGGGGCGGGGGGCGCCTGTAGGGGGAAGCGTGCAGTGGGGCGCGCTGTGGGGCGTGCAGTCCCCACAGGCGGGCGGGGAGGGGAGGGGACCCACCTCTGCGGCCGGGGGCGGGGCCGGCCGTCAGCTCCCCCCCCCCCCCCCCCCCGCAGCAAGGCCCCCTGGACGACTCCGGCTGGGCCATCAGGAACGTCCTGTCCATGCCCATCGTCAACAAGAAGGAGGAGATCGTGGGGGTCGCAACCTTCTACAACAGGAAGGACGGGAAGCCTTTCGACGAGCAGGACGAGGTGCTCATGGAGGTGAGCACGGGACACGCCGTCTGCTCCCCGCCCGGCCGCTCGGCCCAGAGGGGGCTGAGGCGGCGTGCGGGGTCCCCTCTGGCGCCGGCCGCCCCGGACTCGGCCCCCGGACGGGCCGCGGTGCCCGCCCTGGGGTGACGCCTGGCCCTCCGCAGTCCCTCACTCAGTTCCTGGGCTGGTCCGTGCTCAACACCGACACCCACGACAGGATGAACAAGCTGGGCAACCGCAAGGACATCGCCCAGGACATGGTGCTGTACCACGTGCGGTGCGACCAGGACGAGATCCAACGCATCCTGGTACCGCCCTCGCCACGCGCACCCAGGAGCAGGCCCCCCGCCCCGCCGGCCCAGGGTGCCCCCCCCGCCTCCTCGCCCTCCCGGGGAGGCAGGGACGCGGATACGAGCCCCCCACGCACCCCTCTCGTCTCCAAGGCAGGACGCCCCCTCCCGGGCTCCTGCGGCGTGCCGGGCCCCACGCTCACAGGGAGCAGCTGCCTTGTCACTGATGCAGCACCCGTTCCCTCGCAGCCGACGCGGGAGCGCCTGGGGAAGGAGCCGGCCGACTGTGAGGAGGAGGAGCTGCGGGAAATCCTGGTCAGAATCCACCCGCCCGCAGAGGAAGTGGGGCGGCGGGAGGGGGTTTGAGGACGGGCGGGAGCCTGAGGCGCTCACGGGGGTCCCTGCGGTGGTGGCCGCGGTCCACGTGCCAGCCGCCTGCCGTGCTCCCCTGCACCTTCCCACGTGTGTTTCCCCGGCGCGTTCCTGAGGAGGAGGGGGGAGGGCCCGTGTGCGGGCGGGCACAGGCCGGAGCGACCGGCAGGGCAGGTGTCCCTGGGCATCGGGCTGGACGGAGGTCCTGGGAGGAGCGACGGGGAGCCGGCAGGCGGGGCCTGCCCCCTCAGCCACGTGCCTCCACAGAAGGAGGTGCTGCCCGGGCCCAGCAAGTTCGGCATCTACGAGTTCCACTTCTCGGATCTCGAGTGCACGGAGCTGGAGCTGGTCAAATGCGGCATCCAGATGTACTACGAGCTGGGGGTGGTCCGCAAGTTCCAGGTGCCCCAGGAGGTGAGGGCGCGGCGGGGGCCCAGGAGGTGAGGGCAGGGCTGGGCCCCAGGAGGTGAGGGCAGGGCTGGGTCCCAGGAGGTGAGGGCGCGGCTGGGGTCCCAGGAGGAGAGGGCGCGGCTGGGGCCCCAGGAGGTGTGGAGGCGGCAGGGCCCCAGGAGGTGAGGGCATGGCAGGGTCCCAGGAGGTGAGGGCGCGGCTGGGGCCCCAGGAGGTGAGGGCGCGGCTGGGGTCCCAGGAGGTGTGGAGGTGGCTGGGGTCCCGGGTCCTGCTCTGAACTTGGGGAGGCCCGTTCATTACAGAGTGGGCAGTGCAGGCCAGTAAAACACAGGTGGAGCGTGGGGTGGAAGAGCTGACCGCAGGACAGATGGGTGGGTGGACAGCCTGGTTGGCAGGTGCTCCAGGCACTGTGACCTCAGGTGCACCGGGTGGCAGTGGGCTCTGGCTGGTGGGGGAGACAGCAGCCCATCGCCTGTGCAGAAAGCACCGGCCACCCGGCTGGTACGGGTCCTGGCAACCATCCACCACCTGGGTGGGGCCCCTGCACTCTGCGCCGCCCCCGGTCCCTCACACCCCGGCCTCGCTCTCACCGCCACCGAGGGGAACGCCTTCCCTCTGCCGACGCAGGCCCCGGCCGCATGCCCCGAGACGGTCCACTAAATAAGGAAGAAACGCAAGAGAAAAAAATTATGGAGCACGTGGACGGAAAAAAGTACTTCCTAATCACTGGCCCTAACAATCACAGCACAGCCCTAGCTGAGTGCTCAGCGGGCAGCACATCGGCCTGGGACTGAAGGGTTCTGGGTTTGACTCCAGTCAAGGGCGCAAACCTCCCGGCCTGGACCCTGGTCGAAGCTCCTGCGGAGGCAACCGATCGATGTGTCTCTCATCGAAGTTTCTCTCCGTCTTTCCCTCTCGCCCACTCTCTCTAAAAAGCAATGGGAAAATATCCTCGGGTGAGGATTAAACACAGCATTGGAGGTTCCACTGGGGCCAGGTTCTGTGGGCCAGAGAGAGCTGCCCGCCGCCCCCTCCCCAGCCTCCACCCTCGCCCACCCACCACAGCCAGAGGCCACCGCTGACCCCAGACAGGCCTTTTCTCCCGAAACGCCCCTCCCTGTTTTAAAAAGTCGGGACTTTTCAAAAACGCCTCGGGACTCGGGACAATGGTTCAAAAGCGGACGTCCGGTCACCACACCCAGCAGAGGCACACCCGGCGGCAGTTTGCTCGGGGCCAGGCTGAGGCGCCTTCTGAGGCGACCGCTGGATCTGTGTCTCCCACACCGATGTCTCCCTCCCTCCCTCTCTACAAGTCAAGGGGAAATGTCCCCGTGAGGGCTTACAAACACACTCCTCCGCCCGGCTGGGTCCTCCTCGCCCCCCGGGCGGGCCACGGGAGGGAGACCCGGCCACGGGCGGCGCGTGGCCCACCCTGGCGCCCGCAGACACGTCCTGGCTCCCGCAGGTGCTGGTGCGGTTCCTGTTCTCCGTCAGCAAAGGCTACCGGCGCGTCACCTACCACAACTGGCGCCACGGCTTCAACGTGGCCCAGACCATGTTCACGCTGCTCACGGTGCGGGGGCAGGGCACCCAGAAGCCAGGGTGGTGGGTGGGAGGCGCCCGCACACTCACCGCCCCCCAACACACCGGCCCCCCCCCCCCACACACACACACACCGGCCCCCACACACACACACACACACCGGCCCCCACACACACACCGGCCCCCACACACACACCGCCCCCCAACACACCGGCCCCCCCCCCACACACACACACACCGCCCCCCACACACTCACCGCCCCCCACACACACTCACCGCCCCCCAACACACCGGCCCCCCCCCACACACACACACACACCGGCCCCCACACACACACCGGCTCCCAACACACCGGCCCCCCCACACACACACACACCAACCCCACACACTCACCGCCCCCCAACACACCGGCCCCCACACACACACACACACACACCGGCCCCCACACACACACCGCCCCCCAACACACCGCCCCCCACACACTCACACTCACCGCCCCCCACACACACACCGCCCCCCACACACTCACCGCCCCCCAACACACTCACACTCACTGCCCCCCACACACTCACCGCCCCCCAACACACCGGCCCCCACACACTCACACTCACCGCCCCCCACACACTCACCGCCCCCCAACACACCGCCCCCCAACACACCGCCCCCCCCACACACTCACACTCACCGCCCCCCACACACTCACCGGCCCCCACACACACACACACACCGGCCCCCACACACACACACTCACCGCCCCCCAACACACCGCCCCCCAACACACCGCCCCCCAACACACCGCCCCCCAACACACCGGCCCCCACACACTCACACTCACCGCCCCCCACACACTCACCGCCCCCCAACACACCGCCCCCCAACACACCGCCCCCCACACACTCACACTCACCGCCCCCCACACACACACCGGCCCCCACACACTCACACTCACCGCCCCCCACACACTCACACTCACCGCCCCCCACACACACACCGCCCCCCACACACACACCGGCCCCCACACACACACACCAGCCCCCACACACACACACACCGCCCCCCACACACACACCGCCCCCCACACACACACCGGCCCCCACACACTCACACTCACCGCCCCCCACACACTCACACTCACCGCCCCCCACACACACACCGCCCCCCACACACACACCGGCCCCCACACACACACACCAGCCCCCACACACACACACACCGCCCCCCACACACACACCGCCCCCCACACACACACCGGCCCCCACACACTCACACTCACCGCCCCCCACACACTCACACTCACCGCCCCCCACACACACACCGCCCCCCACACACACACCGGCCCCCACACACTCACACTCACCGCCCCCCACACACTCACACTCACCGCCCCCCACACACACACCGCCCCCCACACACACACCGGCCCCCCCACACACACACCAGCCCCCACACACACACACACACCGGCCCCCACACACACACCGGCCCCCACACACTCACACTCACCGCCCCCCACACACTCACCGCCCCCCACACACACACCAGCCCCCCCCACACACACTCACCGCCCCCCAACACACTCACCGCCCCCACACACACACACCGCCCCCCAACACACCGCCCCCCCCACACACACACCGCCCCCACACACACTCACCGGCCCCCACACACACACACACACCGCCCCCCCACACACACACACCGCCCCCACACACACACACCGCCCCCCACACACACACACACCGCCCCCCCACACACACACACCGGCCCCACACACACACACACACCGCCCCCCACACACACACACACCGCCCCCCCACACACACACACCGCCCCCCCACACACACACACCGCCCCCACACACACACACCGCCCCCCACACACACACACACCGCCCCCACACACACACACCAGCCCCCGCACACACACACACCGCCCCCCCACACACTCACCGGCCCCCACACACACACACCGGCCCCCAACACACCGCCCCCCACACACACACACTCACCGCCCCCCACACACACACCGCCCCCCCACACACACACACACCGCCCCCCACACACACACACACCGCCCCCCACACACACACACCAGCCCCCGCACACACTCACCGCCCCCACACACACACACCGCCCCCCACACACACACCGGCCCCCCCACACACACACACACCGCCCCCCCACACACACACTCACCGCCCCCCACACACACACCAGCCCCCACACACTCACCGCCCCCCACACACACACACCAGCCCCCGCACACACTCACCGCCCCCACACACACACACCGCCCCCCACACACACACCGGCCCCCCCACACACACACACACCGCCCCCCCACACACACACTCACCGCCCCCCACACACACACCAGCCCCCACACACTCACCGCCCCCCACACACACACACCGGCCCCCACACACTCACCACCCCCACACACACACCGCCCCACACACACACACACCAGCCCCCGCACACACACACACACACACCGCCCCCACACACACACACCAGCCCCCGCACACACACACACCGGCCCCCCACACACTCACCGGCCCCCCCACACACACACACACCGCCCCCCCACACACACACCACCCCCCCACACACACACATACCGCCCCCCACACACACACACACCGCCCCCACACACACACACCACCCCCCCACACACACACATACCGCCCCCCACACACACACACACACTGCCCCCCAACACACCGCCCCCCCCCACACACACACACCGCCCCCCAACACACCGCCCCCCCACACACACACACCGCCCCCCAACACACCAGCCCCCCACACACACACCAGCCCCCAACACACCGCCCCCCCACACACACCGCCCCCCCAACACACCAGCCCCCCACACACACACCGCCCCCCAACACACCAGCCCCCCACACACACACCAGCCCCCAACACACCGCCCCCACACACCGCCCCCCCAACACACCGGCCCCCACACACACACCAGCCCCCACACACACACCGCCCCCCACACACACACACACCGCCCCCCCACACACACACACCGCCCCCCACACACACACCGCCCCCCCAACACACCGCCCCCCCCCACACACACACCTGTCCAGGCTGTGACGACCTCCGAGCCACAGGCAGCCCCACGCCTGGGAGGCGAGGCCTTGGAGGGCTGACAAGGGCTGCCCCTCGCTTGGCCGGAGGGAGGGACGGGTCAGGCCCTCAGCCTCCGGGGCAGGCGAGGGGTGCGGGTGCAGGACTGGGCGCCTGTGTCCGCAGACGGGGAAGCTGAGGAGCTACTACACCGACCTAGAGGCCTTCGCCATGGTCACCGCCGGCCTGTGCCATGACATCGACCACCGCGGCACCAACAACCTGTACCAGATGAAGTAGGCGAGGGCGGGCGGGCGGGGCGCCGGGAGGGTGCCGGGCGGGGCGCCGGGAGGGTGCCATGAGGGTGCCGGGTGGGGCGCCGGGAGGGGTGCCAGGAGGGTGCCATGAGGGGTGTCCGGGAGGGGTGCCATGAGGGGTGCCATGAGGGGTGTCCGGGAGGGGTGCCATGAGGGGTGTCCGGGAGGGGTGCCATGAGGGGTGCCATGAGGGGTGTCCTGGAGGGGTGCCGGGAGGGGTGCCATGAGGGGTGCCATGAGGGGTGTCCGGGAGGGGTGCTGGGAGGGGTGTCTGGGAGGGGTGCCAGGCGGGGTGCCGGGAGGGGTGCCGGGAGGGGTTTCCATTAGGGGTGTTCGGAAGGGTGTCCGGAAGGGTGCCGGGAGGGGTGCCGGGAGGGGTGCCGGGAAGGGCGTCCGGGAGGGGTGCCGGGCGGGGTGCCGGGAAGGGTGTCTGGGAGGGGTGCCAGGAGGGGTGCCAGGAGGGGTGTCCAGGGGTCCCGGCCAAAGGGCCCGTGGGGAGGGCCTGTGCAGCTGGGGGAAGCAGAGACCTGCAACGTGGCTCCCGCGGGCCCTCCAGCCACTCGGGGCTGCTGGCTTCTCCCCGAACCCGGCAGGTCCCAGAACCCGTTGGCCAAGCTGCACGGCTCCTCCATCCTGGAGCGGCACCACCTGGAGTTCGGGAAGTTCCTGCTGGCGGAGGAGGTGTGGGCCCGGCGTGCGCACACTCCCACTGAGGATCCCCCTGCGCCCGGGCCCCCCTGTGTCCCAGCCCCCTGCGCCCTGGGCCCCTGCACCTGGCCCCCTGCACCCGGGGCCCCCTGTGCCCCGGGCCCCCTGCGCCCGGGCCCCCCTGTGTCCCAGCCCCCTGCGCCCCGGGCCCCTGCACCTGGCCCCCTGCACCGGGGCCCCCTGCACCCGGTGCCTTCTGCACCCGGGGCCCCCTGCACCCGGTGCCTTCTGCACCCGGGGCCCCCTGCACCCAGGGCCCCCCCGTGTCCCTGCCCCCTGCACCGGGCCCCCTGCACCGGGCCCCCCTGCACCGGGTCCCCCTGCATCGGGACCCCTGCACCCGGGGTCCCCTGTGCCCCGGACCCCCCTGTGTCCGGGGCCCCCTGTGTCCCGGGGCCCCCTGTGTCCCGGCCCCCCTGCACCCAGGGCCCCCTGCACCCAGGGCCCCCCCCCCCGTGTCCCTGCCCCCTGCACCGGGCCCCCCTGCACCCCGGGTCCCCTGCGCCCCGGGTTCCCTGTGCCCCGGGGCCCCCTGCACCGGGCCCCCCTCCACCCCGGGTCCCCTGTGCCCCAGCCCCCCTGCACCCGGGCCCCCCTGCGCCCCGGGCCCCCTGTGCCCCGGGCCCCCCTGCGCCGGGCCCCCCTGCACCGGGCCCCCCTGCACCCCGGGTCCCCTGTGCCCCGGGCCCCCCTGCACCGGGCCCCCCCTGCACCCCGGGTCCCCTGTGCCCCGGGCCCCCCTGCACCGGGCCCCCCTGCGCCCCGGGCCCCCTGTGCCCCGGGCCCCCCTGCGCCGGGCCATCCTGGGGACGGGAGTCTGCCCTGCGCCCTCGCCAGAGGGGGCGTAGGAAGTCTCCCCGGGGAAGGTGGGCTCCCTGGGGGATGCTGCCTGAGCCTGGCGCCTGCCTCTTCCCCTCCGCCCGCAGAGCCTGAACATCTACCAGAACCTGAACCGGCGGCAGCACGAGCACGTGATCCACCTCATGGACGTCGCCATCATCGCCACGGACCTGGCGCTTTACTTCAAGTGGGTCCCGCGGGGGCGGGGCGGGGCGGGGCCCGCGGGGGCGGGCGGCCCACAGTGCCGTGTCCTGGGTTCAGGAAGAGGACCATGTTCCAGAAGATCGTGGACGAGTCCAAGGGCTACGAGGACCGGCGGAGCTGGACCGAGTTCCTGTCGCTGGAGACGACGCGGAAGGAGATCGTCATGTGAGCCGGCGGGGGAGGTGGGGGCCGGGCCGGTCCCTCCCGAAAACGTGGGCCAGGCCCGGGCCCAAGCGCCCTGCTCTGCGGAGGACGGCGCCCCCTTACAGGCGCTGGTGCCTGAACGCAGAGCCCGTCCTGCTCCTTGTTTTGGGGGGATTTGGGGTCCGGGGACCAGGGACGGCAGGTGGCGGGGCCTGGCTCAGCACCGTGGCCCGGATCCGTGCTCAGCCTGGAGCCGGTACCGACCCTCACGCCTGTGCGCCGCGCACTCCGAGGCTCGGGATCCGCGCCTGCTGGCTGCAGCGTGCAGGGGAGGGGCCGGGCAGGGCTGCAGCATGCAGGGCAGGGGCGCAGGGGAGGGGCCGGGCAGGGCTGCAGCGTGCAGGGCAGGGGCGCAGGGGAGGGGCCGGGCAGGGCTGCAGCGTGCAGGGCAGGGGCGCAGGGGAGGGGCCGGGCAGGGCTGCAGGGGAGCACAGGCTGCCTCTCCCGGAAGGACCTGCACCCCAGGCCCCAAGGCAGGAGGGCGCAGGGGCGCAGGGGGCGAGGGGGCCAGCCTGGCCCTGCCCCAGCGCCCTCTATCACAGGGCCATGATGATGACCGCCTGCGACCTGTCGGCCATCACCAAGCCCTGGGAGATCCAGAGCAAGGTGAGCCCTCGCCAGGCGCCACCTCCCTGCCTCGGGGGGGCCTGCGGGAGCCGGACGCGGGGCAGACCCTGGGTGGTGCTCAGGACACTGCCCTGCCCTAGGCTGGGCACCCTGTCTGCGGGCGGGAGGTGCCCTGTGCTCACATGTGTGGGGTTCCCAGAGGTCCGGGTGGAGACCGCGGACACAGAGCCTCTGGCAGGTCCGTGGGAGGCGCTCGGACCCAGCGGAACCCCACGGAACCCCACGGAACCCCGAATGAACGACTGTCTTTGCTGTGCCCCCAGGTGGCACTGCTGGTGGCAGCGGAGTTCTGGGAACAAGGGGATCTGGAAAGGACGGTTCTGGACCAACAGCCCATTGTGAGTGTCGCTCCCGAACCCCCGCCCAGGACTTGGTCCTGGCTCAGTGCAGACAGGGTGTCTGGCTCTATCGTGCTGGGCTTTCGCTCTGGGTCTCTGATGAGATGGGGTGTGGGTGCCAGTGGCTCGGGATCCGGGGGAAGCTGTAAGGTTGAATCTGGTGGAACTGGGCAGTGGAGCGTGGCCAGAGGCTCCAGCGTGAGCACGTCTGGGCCTTGCGCAGCCCAGGAAGTCCCAGGTGGAACAGATGTGGCCCCAGGGAGGGTGCTGGAGCCAGGGCCCACACACGGTACCTGGGTGGTGGGGGCGTCTGTGGTCACCGGTGTGGGTCGCGACTGTTCTGTGAAACTGCAAGAGAACCAGGAGTCGATGCGGAAGGAGGTGGCAGCAGGTCCAACACGTGGAGAGATGCAGGGGCTTGCTCACCAAGCCAGCCCTGCTTGGGGCAGAGCACAGGCCTGCGGAGGGTAGGCGGGGCAGACAGCGGGAGAGGCGCCCTGACCAGCAGCGTCTCGGGGGCACTGGGCCGGCTAGTCCTTTCCAGGCCAGGCTTCTAGGGCCCTGCCTGGCCTGTTCTCCCCACGCCGGTCCAGACCATGGGAAGCAGGGACTGACAGGAGGCAGCTTGGTGGGTCTGGAGGTTGAGACAACCAGGACCGCGGTCTAAGCTTACCAGGGGGTCTGGGGGTCTGGGGTCCTGGTTTGGCACCGTGGACAGCTCCCGGGGAGCCGGGTGGGCCTTCTCGGCACCTGCAGCCTGTTTCGGCACCCTGTTCACTTTCCCGAACTGGGGGTCGCTCTTTCTCAGGCACCTGGTTCAGCACCCCGGACAGCTCCGCCACCAGGGCCCGCTCTCTCAGGCCTCTGGGGCCTGCCTCGCACCCTGGCAGCCCCTGGCGCTCTCAGGGGCCTGGGGCTGGTCAGAACCCCGGACAGCTCCGCAGGGACAATGGAGGGGCCCGCCCTGGGGGACTGGGAGGCCTGGGACAGGCCAGCACTATCACCTTGATATGGAGGCCCTGGAACCAGGGCCCGACGGCCCCAAGGCGCGTGGGCTATCCTGGGCTTGCCCTGCCAAGAGCCAGCATCTGTCAGGCAGGCTAGACCGGGCCAGGGCTCTGCCTTCCTCCGTGTGTTTCCGTGGACATGTTCATCTGAGTGGGTGGGGCTGAGTGCGTCCTGGTGCTTGGGGGATGTGCCGGACCCTCCTGCCCCTGCCCCTATCCCTCACTGTGCCCTTCACTGTCCCTGCTCTCACTGTCCCTGCCCCTCACTGTGTCCCTGCCCCTCACTGTCCCTGCCCCTCACTGTCCCTGCCCCTCACTGTCCCTGTTCCTCACTGTCCCTGCCCCTCACTGTGTCCCTGCCCCTCACGGAGTCCCTGCCCCTCACTGTCCCTGCCCCTCACTGTCCCTGCCCCTCACGGAGTCCCTGCCCCTCACTGTCCCTGCCCCTCACCGTCCCTGCCCTTCACTGTGTCCCTGCCCCTCACTGTCCCTGCCCCTCACTGTCCCTGCCCCTCACTGTCCCTGCCCCTCACGGAGTCCCTGCCCCTCACTGTCCCTGCCCTCACTGTCCCTGCCCCTCACTGTCCCTGCCCCTCACTGTCCCTGCCCTCACTGTCCCTGCCCCTCACCGTCCCTGCCCCTCACTGTCCCTGCCCCTCACTGTCCCTGCCCCTCACTGTGTCCCTGCCCCTCACGGAGTCCCTGCCCCTCACTGTCCCTGCCCCTCACTGTCCCTGCCCCTCACTGCCTCTGCCCCTCACTGTCCCTGCCCCTCACTGTCCCTGCCCCTCACTGTCCCTGCCCCTCACTGTCCCTGCCCCTCACTGCCTCTGCCCCTCACCGTCCCTGCCCTTCACTGTGTCCCTGCCCCTCACTGTGTCCCTACCCCTCACTGTGTCCCTGCCCCTCACTGTCCCTGCCCCTCACTGTCCCTGCCCCTCACTGTGTCCCTGCCCCTCACTGTCCCTGCCCCTCACCGTCCCTGCCCCTCACTGTCCCTGCCCCTCACTGTCCCTGCCCCTCACTGTGTCCCTGCCCCTCACGGAGTCCCTGCCCCTCACTGTCCCTGCCCCTCACTGTCCCTGCCCCTCACTGCCTCTGCCCCTCACTGTCCCTGCCCCTCACTGTCCCTGCCCCTCACTGTCCCTGCCCCTCACTGTCCCTGCCCCTCACTGCCTCTGCCCCTCACCGTCCCTGCCCTTCACTGTGTCCCTGCCCCTCACTGTGTCCCTACCCCTCACTGTGTCCCTGCCCCTCACTGTCCCTGCCCCTCACTGTCCCTGCCCCTCACTGTCCCTGCCCCTCACTGTGTCCCTGCCCCTCACTGTCCCTGCCCCTCACTGTGTCCCTGCCCCTCACTGTCCCTGCCCCTCACTGTCCCTGCCCCTCACTGTCCCTGCCCCTCACTGTCCCTGCCCCTCACTGTGTCCCTGCCCCTCACTGTCCCTGCCCCTCACTGTCCCTGCCCCTCACTGTCCCTGCCCCTCACTGTGTCCCTGCCCCTCACTGTGTCCCTGCCCCTCACGGAGTCTCTGCTTCCCCCCAAGCCCATGATGGACCGGAACAAGGCAGCTGAGCTCCCCAAACTGCAGGTCGGCTTCATCGACTTCGTGTGCACTTTCGTGTACAAGGTGAGCACAGGACAGGGCCCCTGGGCCCAGGAGAAGGGCCCTGGCCCACCCTCCCCACATCTGCAGTTAAAATCCAACATCTTCAGGGCCGCCCCAAGTTGAGTGCCTCCCCCTCCCCAGCCCAGCCAGCTCCTGGTTCCCACTGGGCTCTCTCCTCTCGATGTCCCCAGTCACCTTGTGGCCCCGCCTCCAATGTCCCTTCCCCAGCCCCCCGGGCACTCCGTGGCCTGCTGTTCTCAGGCTGATGGCAGGTGCCTGAGAACAAGTCTGGAGCACGGGGAGGCCTCCAGAGCTGGGCGTGCTTTGCCCAGAAACATGGGCTGCATGGCTGACAAGTGACAGCAGGTCTCAGCTCAGGGGGCTGGCCGGGGACGGAGGGGCACCTGCCTGCACGGCCCTCCTGTGATGTCTCCACCCGGCCACCCGGGCAGCAGGGCAGGCCCCACACTCCAATGAGGATGTTGTCTGGTTCTGACTGGACCGCCTCACCCCACCTCGGCCCCGGACACCATACTGCCCTCCGCTGCAGCTCCTGCCCTGTGTCCTGCCTCCACAGCTGACTTGCTGGGGGGAGGTGGGGAAAGGTCACCACGCATCCCCTCCCCACAGCACCCGCATGCCTACAGCTTGTGTGTTCACATCCTGTGTGATGTGCGTGCATCATATGTGGTGTATTCATTGCATGTGATGTATGCACTGTGTGATGTGTGAGGTATGTGTAGTGTGAACACTGTGTGGCGTGTGCACTGGATGTGGTGTGTGCACTGTGTGTGATGTGTGCATTGTGTATAGTATGTGTTGTATGTGCATTGTGTGGCGTGTGGTGTGTGCACTGGATGTGGTGTGTGCACTGGGTGTGGTGTGTGCGGCATGTGTGCACTGTGTGGCATGTGCACTGTGTGTGGTGTGTGTGCATCGTATGTGGTGTGTGCACTGTGTGCACTGTGTGTGGTGTGTGCACTGTGTGGTGTGTGCACATCATATGTGGTGTGTGCGCTGTGTGTGATGTGTTTGCACTGTGTGTGATGTGTGTGCATTGTGTGTGTGTGCACTGTGTGTGGTATGTGCACTGTGTGTGGTGTGTGCACTGTGTGTTGTACGTACACTGTGTGTGGTGTGTGCACTGTGTGTGGTGTGTGCACTGTGTGTGGTGTGTGTGCATTTTGTGTGGTGTGTGCACTATGTGTAGTGTGAGCATTGTGTGGTGTGAGCACTGTTTGTGGTGTGTGCACTGGATGTGGTATGTGCACTGTGTGTAGTATGTGTGATGTGTGTGCACTGTGTGTGGTGTGTGCACTGTGTGTGGTGTGTGCACTGTGTGTGGTGTGTGCACTGTGTGTACACTGTGTGTGGTGTGTACACTGTGTGTGGTGTGTGCACTGTGTGTGGTGTGTGCACTGTGTGTGATGTGTACAGTGTGTGTGATGTGTGCACTGTGTGGTGTGTGCACTGTGTGTGGTGTGTGCGCTGTGTGTGGTGTGTGCACTGTGTGTACACTGTGTGTGGTGTGTACACTGTGTGTGATGTGTGCACTGTGTGTGGTGTGTGCACTGCGTGTACTGTGTTGTGTGAGCACTGTGTGTGATGTGTGCACTGTGTGGTGTGTGCATTGTGTGTGGTGTGCATGCATTGGGTTGATGTGTGTGCACTGTGCGCGCGCGTGTGTGTGTGTGTGTGTGTGTGAGAGGCATGGGAGAAGGAGTACAAGACACTCGTGTCTGTGAGCCCCCACCCCTCTGCAGTTCACACTTTCTATTCTTGGGCTCCCTGGCCGCCGGCGGCATGTGTTATAAGAATCACGCCCACAGCTCGGGAACGCCAGCGCCAAGCCTTCTCCCTGCTCAGGCTCTGCCGGGAAGGGCGTCTCGGTGTCTGTCCCCCTCCCGCCAGGCAGGGCGCTCCTCAGAGCACACCGAGGCGGGTGCAGGCCGTGACCTGTCCCTTCCGCCCTTCCAGGAGTTCTCCCGCTTCCACGAGGAGACCCTGCCCATGCTGCAGCGCCTGCAGGACAACCGGCAGCACTGGAAGGCGCTGGCTGACCAGCACGAGGAGCGGGTGCGGGCCCTGGAGGAGGAGCGGCAGCAGGAGCAGACCGTGGCCAGGAAAGGTCGGCCCTGGTGCGGGGCGGCCCGGGTTAGCCCGTCACGCCAGGGAAGGTCAGCGGAGCTGAGAGGAGAGGCCGTGTCCCTGGGCCTCACTGCAGAGGCGGCCACAGGGCCGTCCACCAGGAGGCCCAACCCCGTCCACGGGTGAGATGGTGGCTTAAGGGCTCCTCCTGCTGGTCCACGTGGGGACTCCGGGGACCAGGAAGTGATCGTGGAGTGCTCCTTCCTTGACGAGGCGGGGCAGCCCGCCAAGATATTGCCAACTCTTCCCAGACCTTTCCCTCAAGCACAGTCCCCTCCGCCAGCCCAGAAAACCCACCTGTACCTCCGTCCCCTCCCCCCACGCACACACGCGCACACACATGCATGCACACACATCTACACACGCACACACACAGGAAAGGAAGAGCTGGGAGCTGTGTCCAGCACAGCCATTGGCCTGTTCGTCCTGGACGGTGGGAAGGTGGCTGCACTGGAGCGGCCCAGCCAGTCTGGCTGGACTCCAGGGCCACATGTCCACCCGTGCCGGCCACTCAGCTCCGGGCTTTTGTTGCTATTCCCCGCGGCTCCCTTCTGTGGGTCGGGAACCACGAGTGTCAGGCTGGGGGCGGCCGGGGCTGAGATAAGAGGTGAGCCCCAGTAATCGGCTTAGCTGACCACAAACCCTCTTGCCCTGCCACGGGGCCAGTGGAGGGCATGCAGGCCGCTGGGAGGGGGTGGCGGGGGCAGGCCTGGCCCTCCGTCACCGCTTGCCTTCTCTTGCAGGGGGCACAGGAATCTGTAACGGAGGCCCGGCGCCCAAGTCCTCGACCTGCTGCATCCTGTGAGCACGCAGGGCCCGGGGGCTGCCACACCCGGCGTGCCCACCTGGCACAGAGGTTAGGGAGCCCAGACGATGCTGGATGCTTTGAGTGTTTTTTTAAGGTTTGTGTTTTCATCAACTGAAGTTCACGACAAACAAGTGTCTCCTGCCCTGCACTCACTCTTCGCCTTGGATGCGTGGTCACATCGGAGACCCCGAGCGGCTGTGGCCAGGGTCGGGGGCTCTGGGGAGAAGCTGCTCGGTGTCTATGTGGATACGAAGGTGCCGTCTCTCGGCTGCGGAAGCGATGTGGGGCCAGAACTGGAGAATAAATGAGAACAAGCTGCCCTTTCTCTGTGGTGGGAAGTGTGGCCGGGGCACGTTGCACATGACCGATTGGAGTAATTCCGGCAGAACGGGGAGCGAGAGTAGAGGCGTCAGAGCTGGGTGAGCAGCGAGAAAGAACCAGAACGAAGGCTGTGTGTGCTGCTGCTGAGGGACGAGGTCCGGCTGCCCAGGCCCCTCCCCTGCAGCTGGGGGGCCCCACACACCTCCGATGGCTCCACATGAGCCAGGAAGAAAGGCAGTCACCCCCAAACTCCCCCAAACTGGAAGCAAGGACACAGGCAAGGGGGTGCTCCTTCTCTGGCAGAAATTAGGGCCTTTAACTCCCGACGTGAGCTCCGGGCGCCTGTTCCCGACACGGGGTGACAGGACTCCCTGGGAACAGCCAGTTCTGAGGGCGCCTGTGCTCCCCCGGGGATGGGGTGGGGTGGGCTGGAGTCTCAGAACTGCTAGGGAGTGAGACTGAAGCCAGAGCCAATCGGGTGACAAGGGAATCCCGTCATGCCAGGGACTAGGGACTCCAGCATGGCCACTATGGCGGAGGTAGAGCTAGGATGGTCAGGCAGAGGTGGCGAAGTTGGGGGAAGGAGGAGGGAGCCAGCAGCCTGAATGACTCCACACAAAATACTGTCTCCATTCCAAAGCAGCACCATGACCTTCAGCTGCTGGCGCTGGGTGGGCCTTAGGGGAGGGCGCCACATCAGCACTCCTTGCTTTCTCTGATGCTCCCAGCACCCCTTCCGGGCCCCTTTCCTTCTGCCTCGGGTTCCTTTTACTCGCGCCCACCTGGTGTCTTCGTCCTTCTTCCCCCGGCTTTGATCCTCCCACTTGACTCTGACTCCCAGCAAATCCTCAGGCTCCGGCCCCCGGGACCTTTGTATTTCCGCAGGCGTCCGATAAAGTGGGTCCAGCCCTGAGGCTCCTCGGACCCCAGGCCCCCCCCCCTCCCCAGGTGCCCCGTGCTCGGTGCCCCGGCACAGAGAGCACAGTGAGGGCAGCCATTGTCCCAGGTCAGGCGGCCTCTCAGGCGGCAGCCCTTGGTGGGTGATACTTCTGAAACCCCTCCCGCGCCCACGCACGCACTGAGCCGAGGAGAGCCAGAGCCTCACACAGCACAGAGAGCTTTATTCATGGCGCTGCTCCAGGCCGCTCACTCAGGAGGCCGCTCACTTCAGGATGCTGTCGTCCCGGGCTGAAGAGGAAGGAGGGCGTCACTGTCTGTCCCAGCAACTTAAAGGAGCACCTGGGCTTTGGGGTGACCAACTCCACCCCCAGCTCCCCAGGTGGCCTCAGCCCTGCAGGGCAGAGGAACGTGCCTCCAGGTCCCCCGGCCTCGCCTAAGGCGGGGCGTGGCCACTCCCCGGGACCCCCCCTGGGCCCTCTCCGCCTCCACTGAGGGTGGCTAGAAGCTGATGTTTGTTCCAGAAAACCTGGGCGGAGGGCAAATCTCTAAGGTTCAGACCCCAGTACCTTCTGCCAGTTCCCTCTCGATCCGTTTCAGCTCATCCTGCCTCTTCTTCTCCTCGGCAGCCACTCTCCTCTCCTCCTCCGCCCGCGGCTTCAGGTAACCTGTGGGGCGGCAGGAAGGGGGCAGCGCCAAGGGGCCTCCTCCAGTCCCCGCCGGTGCTCCCTTCCGGGGCGCCACGAACCCACGTGCTTGCTTCCCATTCTCCTTCACCTCCACGTCCGCAAGGCCCGCAGGCGCCGCTCGGCAGAGCCCACCCGGAGGGGCGACAGGGTCCCACCCGGGTCCCACCGCCCAGCGCTGGACTCAGGCCAGCTCCCGCCCACCCAGCTGCCACCCACCCCAGGTTTCCCACCCCGCTTCCCGGACACCCCAAGTTCCAGGCCCCCCGGTTCCCAGGCCCCCCGGTTCCAGGCCCCTCCCCTCCCCCCGCTTCCAGGCACCCCAAGTTCCAGGCTCCCCAAGTCCCCAGGACCCTCCCCTCCCCCCGGTTCCAGGTCCCTCCCCTCCCCCCGCTTCCCAGACACCCCAAGTTCCAGGCCCCCCAAGTCCCCAGGCACCCCGGTTCCAGGCCCCTCCCCTCCCCCCGGTTCCCAGGCCCCCCGGTTCCAGGCCCCTCCCCGCCCCTCCCCCCGGTTCCAGGCCCCTCCCCTCCCCCCAAGTCCCCAGGCCCCCCGGTTCCAGGCCCCTCCCCTCCCCCCGGTTCCCAGGCCCCCCGGTTCCAGGCCCCTCCCCGCCCCTCCCCCCGGTTCCAGGCCCCTCCCCTCCCCCCAAGTCCCCAGGCCCCCCGGTTCCAGGCCCCTCCCCTCCCCCCGGTTCCAGGCCCCCCGGTTCCAGGCCCCGGGGCGCGGGGCCGGGCCCACGGCGGGCAGCCCGTCACTCACTGTGGCGCTTGGCTCCGTAGGTCACGCCGAGGAACAGGGCGGAGTAGCGGCAGAGCTGCGGGGAGAAGGCGGTCAGAGCGGCGGGAGGGGCCGGGGTGCGGGGCGCGGGCGGGGGCGGGGGCGGGGGCGGGGGCGGGGGCGGCGGGGCCCACGCGTAGCCGAGCGCCGGGAGGCGGCCGCGAGCCCTAGTTCACCTTGATGAGTGGAGAGACCTGCACTGGCGGCACCATCTTGTCCGTGACCCTCACACCGGAAGCACAATCCGGGGCGGACGAAGGCGTCACAAGGCGCCCCAAAGCCCGGAAGTCGCCTAAGTGTACGGGAGCCCGCGCATGCGCCGTCGGGCGCAAGCGAGCGGCGCGCCCCCTGGCGGCCAGAGGGAACGGTGCGTGCCCGCGGGGTGTGCGCGTGACGTCACCGTGCGCGCAGGGTCCGGGCTGCGCGGGGGTTGCGCGTGCGCGATGGCGGGGGGTGAGCGGGGCGGGCGCTGCGCAGTGAGTGAGCGGCGCCGAGCGCCGTGGGCCCGCACGCCGCGTCAGGCTCCCGGTGCGGTCGCCGCTCCCTGGGCCCCTGGGCCTGCCCCGCAGGGCGCCGGGAGCGCTGTTTGTTCAGAACACCTGGCGGCGGGGCGGGCGGGCGGCTGAGCCCGCACTGCGGCCTCGGGGCCCTTCCTGCATCCGCGCTGCGCGGCGCCTCCCGCCACCCCGGCCAGACTCCCGGAAGGAGTCCCCTGCAGGGCCCGCTTCCGGGTCTGCCAACCCGAGGTCCACCCAGGCCTCAGGGGCCTCGGGGCGGAAGCCACGGTCACCCCGCGGGGTCCCTTCCCCTCCCTGCGCCCCTCGCCTCGGGCAGCCCCACTTCCGCAGCTTTGTGGGCAGCGCCCCTGAGCACACCGCCAGGCAGAGCAGGGGGCAAAGGGGCAGGCTGCCCAGCCTCCACACACACACACACACACACACACCCGGGGCCGGCACATGGTTCCCATGGAACTGGCCGGGCCGCCCGGGGGCTCCCCCCAGAGCGTTCTGCTCCCCTTCCCCTCCCGCGCCTTTGGGAGAAGCTCCCTGAGAGCCAGGGCTCGGGGCCAGGAGGGTCGGCCGGAGGGTTACTCCTCACCAAGCCCGGCTTTCAGGAAAGGGAACCGGGAGGGCATGAGGCTCGGACCGGAGTGAATGTGATGCGTGCCTCTGGAGGGCGGTGGGGAGGGACGCCTCCCCGGCCCGGCCCTCCCTCAGCTGCCGCCTCCGCAGCCCTGGCCGGCGTCCGGGCTGGAGAGTCACTGAGTGTGTGTGTGTGTGTGTGTGTGTGTGTGTGTGTCCCGGCCTGGGGAGGCGGAGGCGGGTGGGGGGTGCAGGCCCCTCCGGGGGGCAGGCCTCCACCCTCGGGGCTCCCGAAGGGAGAGAAGGTTCGCGGGCCCCACAAATACAGGACAAACGCCCTGTGCCCACCGCCGTGCCCACGGAGTGCCCGCACTCAGCACATGCCCCTCGCCCCGAGCAGTTGGGCGGTGACCCCAGGTGACAACCGCCTTCACCCTTCCCCGATTTTAAAATAAACCAGGCTCCTCAGCAACTCCTCTTCCAGAGTCAAAAATAAGTGTGCGGGGAAGGTGGGGCAGAGGGCGAGTGGGGCCACACACCAGCGCCCCCGCGGGGTGAGGGTTGGGGGCACACAGGCACCCCCCAGGGCAGACCCCTGGAGCCCACGCACCCCCCATGGCCAGGCCCTTCCTGGGGTGGGTGGAGGAGGTCCCACATGGCCTGCCGCATCCCCGCACCTGCCGGGCAGCTGTCCGTGCGGATTCCGGGATTCTCTGGGGAGCCGAGCTGCGGCTATCTTTAGGGCTGTGCTCAGAGCCTGGCCAGCCACGGAGCACCCCGGGGGCTCTGCTGGTCCCCTGCCCCTTGGAGGGCCTGTGAGCACAGAATCCTGATGCCCCCCCTGGGGTGGCCCTCCCCTCTCCTGCAGCCTAGCCTGGGGTCTCTCCAGGCCCAGCCAACCCCACCCAGGGGGACGGTGGAGGCCGTTAGAGGTGCAGCCCAGGCCCGTCTCCCGCGTCCTCTGGTGTCCCCTGGGCAGAGCCCCTGGAAGCCCCCTCCATCCCTGTGGTAGGCTGCGCCTTTCCTGGATCCTGTGGTCCCACCTTCGCTCCGTGTGCCCTGCTACAGCTGCAGTGGAGGCAAGGGCTCAGAGCGGCACCAGGAACACCCACCCGGCTATGGGGGCTGCGCTCATCCCCGCACACCCAGGGCTGCAGCTGCCCTGGGGACCAGGACATCAGCCTCTGACCTCATGCTAACGGGCACCCACGGCCCTGGCATGTGGGAAGTCCAGGTAGATGCGGGCCCCGCCCACCCCCCCAGCCCTCCATCTCCTCGTGGACCTGAGGTGGGGATGGCAGGGTGGCCCAGCCCCAGGGCTAAGGACCTGGACCTCTCTGCCTCTGAGGCCGGGAAGTGAGGGCAAAGGAGCTGTATATGGGAGACGCCCACGTCCAGGGACCGGCAGGTGCACAGGAGAGCGGGGCTCCTGGGGGAGCAGTGGGGAGGCCGGGGAGGCCGGGGCCCTGCGGGGCAGGGCAGAAGAGGACATCGGAATCACTGCTGACGACCAAGCTCACTCGGCAGTTGTCCGGTCCCCGGGGGGCCCCGGCCTGTCCTTATAGGGAGTGGCTGTCCTGGGGGAGCGGGCAGGAGCTTAAGACGGGCGGCCCGACAGGGAGGGCACAGACCATCGCACCGCAGACCCGGCATGTGAGTGTGCACGGGCGGGCAGCCGGGCAGGGGTGCCCGAGAGCTCCATTGAGTGTGACGGGTGAGGGTGTGCACACACAGTGAGGGTGCGCACACAAGGTGAGCGTGCACACACAGTGAGGGTGTGCACAAGGTGAGGGTGCGCACACGAGGTGAGCGTGCACACACAGTGAGGGTGTGCACAAGGTGAGGGTGCGCACACAAGGTGAGCGTGCACACACAGTGAGGGTGTGCACAAGGTGAGGGTGCGCACACAAGGTGAGCGTGCACACACAGTGAGGGTGTGCACAAGGTGAGGGTGCGCACACGAGGTGAGCGTGCACACACAGTGAAGGTGTGCACAAGGTGAGGGTGCGCACATGAGGTGATCGTGCACACACAGTGAGGGTGTGCACACGGTGAGGGTGCGCACACAAGGTGAGCGTGCACACACAGTGAGGGTGCGCACACAAGGTGAGCGTGCACACACAGTGAGGGTGTGCACACAAGGTGAGCATGCACACACAGTGAGGGTGTGCACAAGGTGAGGGTGCGCACACAAGGTGAGCGTGCACACAGTGAGGGTGTGCACAAGGTGAGGGTGCGCACACAAGGTGAGCGTGCACACAGTGAGGGTGTGCACAAGATGAGGGTGCGCACACAAGGTAAGCGTGCACACAGTGAGGGTGTGCACACGAGGTGAACGTGCACACACAGTGAGGGTGTGCACACAAGGTGAGCGTGCACACACAGTGAGGGTGTGCACAAGGTGAGGGTGCGCACACGAGGTGAGCGTGCACACAGTGAGGGTGTGCACAAGATGAGGGTGCGCACACAAGGTAAGCGTGCACACAGTGAGGGTGTGCTCACGAGGTGAACGTGCACACACAGTGAGGGTGTGCACACAAGGTGAGCGTGCACACACAGTGAGGGTGTGCACAAGGTGAGGGTGCGCACACGAGGTGAGCGTGCACACAGTGAGGGTGTGCACAAGATGAGGGTGCGCACACAAGGTAAGCGTGCACACAGTGAGGGTGTGCACACGAGGTGAACGTGCACACACAGTGAGGGTGTGCACACAAGGTGAGCATGCACACACAGTGAGGGTGTGCACAAGGTGAGGGTGCGCACACAAGGTGATCGTGCACACACAGTGAGGGTGTGCACACGGTGAGGGTGCGCACACAAGGTGAGCGTGCACACACAGTGAGGGTGTGCACACAAGGTGAGCGTGCACACACAGTGAGGGTGTGCACACAAGGTGAGCGTGCACACACAGTGAGGGTGTGCACACGGTGAGGGTGCGCACACAAGGTGAGCGTGCACACACAGTGAGGGTGTGCACACAAGGTGAGCGTGCACACACAGTGAGGGTGTGCACACAAGGTGAGCGTGCACACACAGTGAGGGTGTGCACAAGGTGAGGGTGCGCACACAGTGAGGGTGTGCACAAGGTGAGGGTGCGCACACGAGGTGAACGTGCACACACAGTGAGGGTGTGCACACAAGGTGAGCGTGCACACACAGTGAGGGTGTGCACAAGGTGAGGGTGCGCACACGAGGTGAGCGTGCACACAGGTATTGGCAGCCGGGCACGGGGGCATCTGTGCCCTGAGGCTGCCCGGTAACAGTCTGGGGCTGGAAGACGGGTCTTAGCCGTCGCCGTAGCGGGGTACCCAGGACCCATCTGCCGCCGGCCCCCTGCGCAGTCCGCTGGCTCCTGGGACCCCCAGCCGGCTCCCAGTGGAAATGCTGACGGCACGGGGCCAACGTCAAGGTGCACCTTCTCAGGGCTCCATGCTTACCGGCACCTGGAGCTGCTCAGCCTGTGGGCCCAGACCCTGCCAGACTGCAACCTGGCCCGCCCTTCCTCTGAATGACACCCCCCAGGCCCGCCCCAAGCCTCACCCGTGTTCCCGTGTCCCCTCCAGGCCCGGCCCGAGCCTCACCCGTGTTCCCGTGTCCCCTCCAGGCCAGCAGGAAGACCAAGAAGGAGGGCGGGGCCCTGCGGGCACAGAGGGCTTCCTCCAACTTCGAGCAGACACAGATCCAGTTCAAGGAGGCGAGGCCCCCCTCCCCGGGGCCATGGGGGCCGGGAGACCCGGGCAGGCAGCAGGGCGCCGGGCCTCACTGTGCGGCCTCCCTCCAGGCCTTCACGCTGATGGATCAGAACCGGGACGGCTTCGACAAGGACCTGAAGGACACCTACGCCTCCCTGGGTGGGTGCCAAGCGGAGCCCCCCCCAGCCCGCCTTCAGCCTTCCCCTCTGCACTGCAAGGGCTGGCAGGGGTGTCGCAGGGCCCAGGGGGGCGGAGAGCCGGGGGGGAGGGGGGAGCTGGGACTAGGTCCAGGGAGGGACGCCACTGCCGAGATGGGGTGAGAGCTGGAGGCAGGACCTGCTCCCCATCCTCCCCATCGGGGGGGACACTGCTCCCAGCCTGAGGCAGCCTGCCCGCAGCCCAGCACGGGGGAGGGGGGGAGGCCGCTTCCACCTGCAG